CAGGCAAGGGTCACAAATTTGGACGCCCACCTGTTTGTCAGATCTTCCTATGTGATTACATGCATATGTATAACGAGGGGAGGTGCAACAGCCAGCTCACACACTGGGGTGGAGCAAAACTAAGTCTGCTTCCCCTCTCCGGGATGTGACTGCGCTTTGGGTATCTGTTCGGGGTGCTGGGTGCTGCAGGAGGGGATTCACGCTCTTCTCCCTGTGCTGTTTTACCCAGAGGAGAGGGCTCTGGCCGTGCTGCACACTTCGCCATGTAAACCTGCCCAGCCTCGCAGATGCCAGCTGTCAGCACAGCCCTGGACCTGCAGAACGGTGAGCACAGGGGGTCCATCTGCGGGGGTTCGGCTCCGGGTGCTCCTCGTGGCATTGGTTCTGCAGCACTGAGAGCTCAGTGCTGCTGTGTCCAGGTTTGTTTCATGGAACGGCTGAGAAATCTCTGCCCGTTGCCCCAAATGGAGAGCTCGGGGTTTTGGGAGCCTCTTTGGGGCTGCAGATGGGAACGGTGATGCTCGCCTGCTCTCACAGCCACAGCTGATGCCCTGAAGCTGCCAATCTGGGGACCAAAGCCAGCATCTCGTGCTCCAAATGTCCCCATTCTCTGCAGCTCCCGGCACGGAGAAGCCAATGGGGCAACACAGCGGGAGCCCCCGGGCTACTCTGCTCCCTGGTGCAGGGCTGCATCCTCCAGAAATGCAGATCTGTACTGCTTCCTACCCAGGTCCACTGCATCCATCCATCCACCCACCCGGCTGCCTGGCCCGGTGTGGGTTTGAGATCTGCTCTCCATAGGGCTGAGACAATGTCCCCTGCCCCCTAGCTGCCTCTTCTTATTAAAACAAAGCTGGTTGGGTCTAGGTTGCAATATACACCCTGTCTGGCAGGATGAGGGTATGCGTTGCAATGTCAAGCTCCCCCCTTAATGGCATTTTACTTTCTTCGCTTGCTGCTCCCATCATCATCACAGGGACGGCGATAGCATTTCAAACACAGCAGCTGTAGACATGTCTTAAAAAAGGCATCCAGCCCCGGACTGATGCTGAGCAGAGCTGAAAGGCAGACGGACCGCAGTGCCCTACAGGGATCTCTGCCCTGAGTGGGTTTTTCTGGGAGGTCGGGGGCTGTGGATCAGCAGCTGCTCCCCTCTGAGCCCGCCGACTTGTTTTCCCATGGAAAGCAGAGCGGTCCTGACGGGCTCAGGCTGTTTTCCACCCATGGCTGCCTCTCCACCCTGTCTTCAGAGCAGACATCTGTCTGTCCGGCTGCCCTGTCATTCTGCTCCTCCTGCCCACAAATCCATCTGTCTGCTCAAATCAGAGCCTTGGCAATGATGTGGTGCCCATGGGGGTGGCCGGCCCCATATAGCCCTGCTCAGGGCCTGCAGCACCCCAAGGACCCTGTGCCAGGATCCATCCCTCAGGTACTGATCTGGGGGGGCTCCTGTGCCCCTGGAGCATCCTTGTTGGCTGCATTTTGCACAGCACCTTGTACTGCATGGAGTGCCACCAGGTGAGGAGTTTGGAGGTTTCACCAACCCAGCGATCCCAGCTGGGAGCCTGAGGTTAATGCACAGCCCCATTCAGCTGGATGGAAGTGCTGGACCAAACTGGAGCATTCCTGGGGCAGCAGCAATAAAATCCTCAGCACCCAGAGCCTGCACCCAGCCAGGGTGAGAGTGGGGGCTCTTCATGCCCCCGAGCAGCATCATTAATCAGCTCTCTGAAAGGTGGATAATTACAGCGTATGCTGTTCTGAAATGGTTATTAATCATCCTGCTCCCGCACTTCATTTATCACAAAGCTGCCTGGCTTGGAGCGAAGGCACAGGGTCCCCTCCCCAGGTGGCTGTGGTGAGGTGGCACGGTGGTCTGGGTGCTTGGGTGCTGCGTTGGGTGATGTGTCTGCAGGAGGTGGGTGGCAACAGGAGGTGATTCCTGTCACCATCCCACAGCACAGCCCACAGGGGGATCCCATGCTTGGAGATGCATCGAGCCCCCCTCCATGCGAATCCATCTGAGTGTGCTGTGCCGGCTGCAATGAGCAGGCGGTGAAGTTTTGGGGAAATAACCACACAAAGCTGCAGGAATGCAGGCTTCTGCAAATTAAAACTTCTCCCTGCACAGCAGAAACCTGGGCGAACCTCAGTGATAACCCAGGAGTGCTGCCTGAGCCCCCACTGCTGCCCCCCATCCGAAGCCTTGGAGAGCAATGAAGACACTCATGGAATACCAACCACCTGCACCCGCTGCAGTGACCTTTTGGAAACGTTGTACTTTGTGGTCGTATCGAAATGTCTTCTCTCCGGAGAGCATCTTGCAGAGATAGAGATTCAGACGTGATGTCTATCAAGAAGAAGAGCAGATTGCGGCCAATCTGTGGCTGCCTGCGCGGTGTTGCCTGGGCCACGTGCTCAACAATCATAAGGTTGTCTCTAAAAATAAGCTTTCTTTGGGGCTGTCTCCTTGGCGTTGGGAATCCTTCATTCCAGGGCCTCGCAGCCGTTGCGAGGGATGAGGGTTTCCACATGGTGGTGAGCAGAGCCTGGAAATGAAGTGACCCAGAAAATCTGTTGGGATGCACGGAGACGGGAGCACTGGATTCCCAGCAGACCCTGATGGGATTAGGAATAACTCCGTTTGGTAATTCTCTATCAGCTCTGCTGATTGATTTTCTTCCTTTCTGCACTCAGCTCGCCCCGTTTCAGCTGGATTGTTCTCATGCTCGCTAATTGCCTGATGGCCAGAGCCTCGTCAGAGCGGTGTGGGGAGGCTGCTGGCCTCACGTCACCCCCAGGTCTCTGTGTCTCTGCTCTCATCTCACCTCCTGCGCTCCTGGCATCAGCTGCTCTGATTCTGCACCCTAGATCAGATGGAGGAGCCTGGTGGACCAGGAGCCTGTGACCAGCAGTTTCAGTCCTGCTGAAACCCAGAGAGGTTGAAGATGCCCCATCCCTGGAGGTGTTCAAGGCCAGGTTGGAAGAGGTCCTGGGCAGCCTGACCTGGTATTAGATATGGAGGTTGGCAGCCCTGCATGCAGCAGTGGGGGTTGGAGTTTGATCATTGGGTCCCTTCCAGACCAAGCCATTCTATGATTCTGTGAAGCCATCGGGGCTGGCCATGCTTAGTATCTTGGTCATCTGGAGAAGGGGACTGAGTGCACCCTCAGATGACGCCAATTGGGGAAGGAGTGTCAACCTGCCTGAGGGAAGGATCAATCCCTATGGAGAATGGCTGGGCTGAGGCCAATGGGATGAGCTTCAACAAGACCAAGTGCTGAATCCCAAAGTTTGGTTCCAACAGCCCCATGCAGTGCTGCAGATGTGGGGCTGAGTGGCTGGGAGCTGCACAGGGGGAGATGTGAGTTGGCAGCTGTGGGTGCTGCTGGGCATAGGGCTGGGACTCCCCTGGGTGCTGCTAAAGCACAATTTGAGGGGGAAGATGGCTTTGAGCAGCGGTCTCTGAGGGCAGCCCCAGTGGGACCGTTCTGCAAGCAGATGCAAGAATAAAACAAGACATTGCTTCAGCTGAAGTGGTTGTACTTGCATGTTGTCAAAGCAGAGGAGCCTAGAAATGTCAAGCCTGTCTTGTTTTGTTTTCTGGTCTTTATTCAGAAAAGGAGAGACCTGGGAGCTGAGGAGCCACTTCTGTGCAGCTCTGCCCCACTGCTCAGCCTCTCCATCGCCGCTCCATGGCTGTGCTGCAACCTGGGCTGTCCTGGCTCTGCTCCCCAGCCCAGCGAGCAGCAGGCATGTTATTTTTAAAAACAAATTAAACGCAATGAGCAGCCTCTATCTAGGCCTTTGAGCTGAGTCTTAATTGGCCTCACTCCCCAGAGGCCAGGCAAGCCCCGGAGATGGTGATGCTACGACAGTAATGAGCTATTAATAACCCATAGTGACTTCTCCTGCAGGTTGCGTCTGGGTGCATCCTTCCCAGGTCGGGGAGAGGAGGAACAGAGCCACTCAGACCACAAGGATGAAGTCAAAGCATGAGCACACAACCAGCTCCTCGTGGATCCCAAAAGCAATAGGAATGCATGGCCAGGAAGTGGGGAAAGCAGTGGGATTTGTGATCCCACCCTCCATAGAGCCCTACTTTGTGTCGCACAGCCCCATGCTAATGCCCTGTGGATGATGGTGATGCTTTCCCTCCTGGCTCAGAGAGACAGAAAAGCGTGGCGAAATTAAGACATGTAAAAAGAAGTCTTTAAAAGATAATCTCCCGTGGCTCCTAAATTGCACCGAGCTATGGGTTTACTGCCAGAGAATTGCTCGGCTTGTATAATAGGATCAGGGCTGGAAATTATCCACAGAGATAGCATCCTTCCCCATGCTGTGGGCATAAGAGGGTTGGGAACCTCCCTGTGTACCCCGAGGCTGGATCCTGTAGCATTCCAGAAGCAGCCCACAACGCTCTGTCCGAGCAGCCCTGTTGTTTAATTAGGTTAATGACAGTGCTTGGTTCAGGAAAGGTGGTTGATGAGCTTTGCAGTAGTGCTGGGATGTACATGTCTGGCAGATTTGGAGCAAAGGAGGGAAAAGAGATTGGGGAAGGGGAAAGAAGGAAAAAGGCAAATGGGCAGCAAGGTGCTAATTCCTCCAAAAGGAGGGCAGCAGTGATTGAGACGTGGCAGCAGTAATCCATAATCTGCCAAGATTGAGCCCGCAGCCTCTCCCAGCCCCACTGTTGAGGGTGGGGAAGGGAGGACTGGCTCCTGTATGAAGCTCTGAGTCCTCCATCCTATGGAGGGTATGGAGGTGGGTGGGTAGGATTTGTTCCATCAGGTGAGACTCAACCACAGCCGCCACAGGGAGCAAGGAGGAGGTGGTGTCCCACCTTTGCTCTATGCCTGTGTTTGCAGTGAGTCTGGTCCCCAGGCCACAAGAAGAGGTCGGTGGTATTTCCTGGTATTTCCTGCAGGATGGGAACCTTCTCAGGGCCACGGACCGTGGTTTGGGGTACTACTCCAAAGGAGGAGTTTTTCAGCTGTAGCTCACAGCCTGGTGATCTCAATAGAACTCGCTGCTGACACCTCTCTCTTTCCTTTCCAGGTGTATGCGAGAATGGTAGAGAGCCCGTAAGACCATGCTCTACACCATGACATGTTGGCTCCCGGTCCTGGTCCTCCACCTGGTCCTCCTGAGCCCACTGCAGGTGGCAGCCTGCCCTGCCCGCTGCGAGTGTGCCCCGCAGCTCAGATCGGTGGTGTGTCACCGCAAGCGGCTCACTGCCATCCCCGAGGGCATCCCCACAGAGACCAAGATCCTGGAGCTCAACAAGAACCGCATCCGCTGCCTGAACCCGGGGGACCTCTCCCCGTACCCCTTGCTGGAGGAGCTGGACTTCAGCGAGAACATCATCACCAATGTGGAGCCAGGAGCCTTCAGCAACCTGTTCAACCTGCAGACTCTGCGGCTGCGGGGAAACCAGCTCAAGCTCATCCCCCCGGGGGTCTTCACCAAGCTGACCAACCTCACCCTCTTGGACATCAGTGAGAACAAACTCGTCATCCTTCTGGACTACATGTTCCAGGACCTGCGGAACCTGAAGAGCCTGGAGGTGGGCGATAATGACCTGGTGTACATCTCCCAGCGCGCCTTCTCAGGGCTGCTCGGCCTGGAGCAACTGACCATTGAGAAGTGCAATCTGACCTCCATCTCGGCTGAGTCACTCTCCTACCTCCAGAACCTCGAGGTGCTGCGGCTCCGGCACCTCAGCATCTCTGCGCTGGAGGAGCAGAACTTCAAGAAGCTCTACAACCTCCTGCAGCTGGAGATCGACAACTGGCCGCTGCTGGAGGACATCTCCCCCACCAGCTTCCAGGGCCTGAACCTCACCTCACTCTCCATCACCTACACCAACATCACAGTCGTGCCCACCGCTGCCTTGAGGAACCTGGTGTACCTCCGCTACCTGAACCTGTCCTACAACCCCATTAGCACTGTGCTGAAGGGCTCCTTTAAAGACCTCATCCGGCTCCAGGAGCTGCATATCGTGGGCGCTCTCTTGGTGTCCGTAGAGCCGCAGGCCTTCTCTGGTCTGAGACAAATCCGTCTGCTCAACCTCTCCAGCAACTTTCTCTCCACGCTGGAGGAGAGCACCTTCCACTCCGTGAACACGCTGGAGACGCTGCGGGTGGACAGGAATCCCTTGGCCTGCGACTGCCGCCTCCTCTGGATCCTACAGCGACGGAAGACGCTCAACTTTGACGGCCAGCAGCCCATGTGCTCCACACCGCCCGAAATCCAGGGGAACGCTCTGCGTGACTTCCCCGACTCCGTGCTCTTCGAGTATTTCACCTGCCAGAAGCCCAAGATCAGGGATCGGAAGCTGCAGCACGTGACGGCCCGCGAAGGGCAGTCCGTGTCCTTCCTGTGCCGGGCGGACGGGGAGCCAGAGCCCTCCATCGTCTGGGTGTCCCCTCAGCACCGCATGATCACCACGCGCAGCACGGGGCGAGCAGTCGTACTGCCGGGGGGCACCCTGGAGATCCGCTTTGCCCAAGTGCAGGACAGCGGGACCTACATCTGCATTGCCAGCAACGCAGGGGGCAACGACACCTATTTTGCCACTCTGACGGTCAAGGGACACCCAAACGATGGCTCCTCCAACGCCAACCGGACTTTGTACCTCAGTGAGTTCAATGACACCTACCATAACGACACGCAGGTCTTCTTGAAGTTCACGCTTGATCTCAAGACCATCCTGGTGTCCACAGCCATGGGCTGCATCACCTTCCTCGGCGTGGTTCTCTTCTGCTTCCTGCTCCTCTTTGTTTGGAGCCGGGGCCGAGGGCAGCACAAGAACAATTTCTCGGTGGAGTATTCCTTCCGGAAGGTGGATGGACCCACCACCACCACGGGCCAAGGAGGAGCCAGGAAGTTCAACATGAAGATGATCTGAGCCTCTCCAAAGGAGAACCGTTGGCTGCGGCCCGGCCCCGGGCGCAGCTGTGGCACAATGGGGCCAGGGGGCACAGGGGCATCAGTGATGTCCTGGGGCATCAACAGGGCCAGCAGCACGGTCAGGGACCGAGGGCTGTTGGACTGGATGATCTTGGAGGTCTTTTCCGACCTTAATGATTCTGTGATTGGATGACCCAGCTGGCCCCAGCCCCGCAGTGACCCCACAAGTGGCCCAGGGGCCATCCCAGCTCCTGATGTAGCTGTTTTTGCTACCAACTATGCATTTCTCAATGAGATCAGCAGCGTTTTGGCCTGGGAAAAAAAAAAAAAAAAAACACAACCAGAAAACAACTTTTCTTCCCCCTTTTCCCATTTTTTGTTTTGTTCTGTTTTTAAGAGACTTAAGAAAACTATCTGGGTGTTATTTATGGTTGTTCTTTTTTTTTCCTCTGACACTTTTTTAAAATGAATTTCCAAAAGAAAAGTCTTCCGGTGCGACACAGGACTGGGGAGCAGCACTGGGGTGTCCCCAACCCCTCCCTGGGCACAGACAGACCCCAAGGCACAGCCACACCGTGGGACCTTCACCTGGGTGACTCCAGCACAGGGCAGCTCAACCCTGTGGGCTGGGGGTGCTCCTGCACAAGCAATAATGATCCGCACCTGTGCAGGTTGGTGCTGGGGTGTGAGAAGGAAGAAATGGAAAAATGAGGCAACAGGCATTAAAAATTGGAGGAGCAGCCCCACGGAAAGGCTGTAGCCAAGGTTGGGGTTGACCTGTTGGCAGCTGTGGGGCAGTGGGGTGGTTCTGCTATGGGTGCAGAAAGCAGCTCTGGGTGAATGCAGGGCATTTCCTTCAGCTTGCAAACTTGAAGGCTGCAGGACAGAAGGATCTGGTTCATCCTGCACAAGGAAGGCCAAAAAAAAAAAAGACAGGAGAGAAGAAAAAAAGGGGTTGGAGCTGAGGAACCAATGGGAGAAGCAACCCCAGAGAAAAGGATGGTGCTGCTGCAGCTGGAAGGGGCAGGAAGGTCCTGGCTGTGTGTGCACACGTGTGCACACGTGCAAGGTTCCTCTATTGCTCATTTCCCCATTTGCCATTGCAGCCATCCTCCAGCAGCTCCTGTTTTCACCATGGGGAGCCCCCATGGTCCCACTTCTTCCTCCCGCCCTTTTCTGCACCCTCCTCATCCTCAGATCCCACATCTGTCAGTGGTGGGGACTCGCTGCTATGGGGACAGTCCCCAGCGTTGTGATCCTTGTCCTGTTGGTTGTTTCACCTCTGCTTGGCCTCGGGATGTGATTTTGGGCTGAGAAAAGGAGCCATCCCCATCCCCATTCTTGTGGGCACATCCCACTGGGTGTCCCTTCTGCTTGGGAACACACCCAGGATCCTGACTCCTGCTGGAGTTAATGGCATCCCCAGGCATTTGGGGCTGTGTTTTGGGCACAAATCCCCAGGCTGCTCCCACGCTTTTCCCTGCCCATGTTTTGGAAGTGTGATGGGGACATCCATCTCACCCTGTCATCCTTCCATGGGTCCCATTGCATGCCAGGTGCCCCCATGCCCCCCATGTCACCCCACTTGGGGTTGATTTTTACCTGGGGGGGGGGGGGGGGGGGAGGCAGGGTGGAAAAAAAAAAAAGTACACAAAATCAGGTTTTTTGTGATTTGTTTGGGGTTTTTGGTGGATTTTTTTTTTGGATTTGTTTTGTTGTTTTTTTGTTTTTTTCCTTTTCTTCCCCGTGTGCCTCGAGTATAGGACAGCCACTCGTGCACCGTGCACAGGATCCATGCCATGGCCTCCAGCAGAAGGGCTTAGGCAACACCCAGAGCTCAATTAGGGGCAAACACAGAGCCCAGGGCATTGGGGTGGGATTACCACGCAGGGGGTGAGGGCCCCGGTGGGGTCAGAAGTGGAGGATTTGGGCTTTACCACTGAGCACCACTGCCAGCCCTGTGAACCCCGTAATAAACGATGTTAAAACAACTTTCAGAGGGGACCGAAGTGCATATTAATAACTAATAAATGATTAATGCGCATGTGTTAACAAGCTGCCACTGCTATTAATCTGTTATTAATTATTAAGGGAGTGTTTGTAAGTATGCCCTGAAGCTGACAGGTGCAAAGCCTTGCAGCCACCCTCCTGCTTGCATGGAGCTGGGGGTGGGGGGGGTTAAAGGGATTCACACAAGCAAGGTGTGCACACACACACACACACACACACATCTTCTCCATCCTCAGTGCCCCCACAGATCCCTTCCTTTTGCTGCACCATCTCAGGGCTCAGCTTGCAGTCCCAGACACTGGAAATAGCTGCATGTCGTGGCAGTGTAATTTTTAGGGTTTTGTTTTGGTCAGACCCCTCTAACAAGGCTGGAACCCAAGCCCTGTGCGCAGCTTATAGGGGGAAACTGAGGCACAGATGGGCATTATGGTGGGGCCAAGGGGCTGAAAGCAGCAGCACCAGAAGGGCTGGGGGGAATCTCCACTTCTAAGGGTTATCCTTGAGAGGGTCCCCTTGCTGTCCCACATCACACAGGCCCTCTCCAAGCTGCCACTGCTTTCCCCATGAGGCTTGGATGTCCCCAGTGTCCTTTGCTCAGTTGGTTGGGGACGACCTGCTTTTGTGTCCCCAGCAGTGGGGCTGCTGAGCATCCTGAAACACAGCATCACCCTGAGCCCAAGCTTGTGTCACCCAGTTTGTGTCACATCACAGTCCTGGCTCTCCCAGTATGGGACTGGGATGGGCACTGTGGGTGGTGAAGCAAAGCAATGCCTCCATCTGCTGGAGGAAAGGGCTCTGAGTGGCTCCCAGCCTCTTCCCGCTGCACCCCAAAACCATGTACCCAGCAGGGATTTGGGGATGCTCCTGGGGTGCATCCAGCACAGTGATGGCCCTGTTTGGAAACTGTCCTTTGGCTCTGCAGCTGGCCAGGACGGGAGCACAAAATTGGGATTTTTCAGTCATTTTCTGCATGGAAAATTTTAAAAAGAAAAAGGCATATCCCCAGAGAGCATGGCAGCTTCAGGGTTGGGTTTGTTACTCCCACAAATGCCAATGGGGACATGAGTGGGACCTGCAGTAGCTCTGGGTGTAACGGGACCAGTGCTGCCAAGCAACTGGATCTGAGTGCAGACCAAAGAAACCAGAGCTGTAGAGAGTGCACTAAGAACAATGCCCAAGAAAAGGCCAAAAAATAAAGGCAATTAGGGGAAAAAAAAATAAAAAGCAATTTTCCAGCAGGTGCATTTAAAGATCTTATCCCCCACCGGGATGAGAAACCAATTTCCTTATAAATAAGAAAGACTTCAGCTAAGTGGAGGTTCCCCACCTCAGCTCCATAGATCCCCCACTGCAATGTGTGGGTGAGCAATTTCACTTTTGTTTCCATAACCCTGGTGAGCATCTCCCTGCTTCCCCAATGAAAGTTTACTTGGAGGATGTCACAGCTCCAAACTCCAAATTTTTGCCTGCTATGGGGCTCCTCCTCCTTGCCTTACTTTGCCTTTGCCTTGCCTTTTTCCTTCCTTTCCCTTCCCCTTCCTTCCCATTCCCTTCCCATCCTTTTATTCCATTCCATTCCCTTTCCATTTCCCCTTCCTTTTCCATTTCCTCTTTTCTTTCCTTTCCTTTTCCCATTCCTTTTCCATTTCCTTTCCCTCTTTCCTTTATCCTTTCTCCTTTTCCCTCTTTCCATTTCCCCTTTCCTTTCCTTTCCTTTCCTTTCCTTTCCTTTCCTTTCCTTTCCTTCCCTTCCCTTTCCCTTCCCTTTCCCTTCCCTTTCCCTTCCCTTTCCTTTCCTCCCCTTTCCTCTCCCTTTCCTCTCCCTTTCCTCTCCCTTTCCTCTCCCTTTCCTTCCCTTTCCCTTCCCTTTCCCTTCCCTTCCCTTTCCCTCTTCTTTCCCTCTCCTTTCCTCTCCTTTCCTCTCCTTCCCTCCCCTTTCATTTCACCTTTCCTCCCCTTTCCCCTTTCATTTCACCTTTCCTTCCATTTTCCTTCCCTTTCCTTTCCCTTCCCTCCTCATCCATTCCACTTTCCCTTTCTTTCCTCTTTCCCTTTCCCCTCTCTTTTCCCTTCCCCTTTCCCTTTCCCTTCCCTTTTTCTAACACAAAACTTGTTACCTTTCCGCTCTGCAAACCCACATCTGCTCACCCTGCAGCCTCGATGCTCCCAGGTGAAATTCCAGTGATTTGCCTACAGCTGGGCCATGAAACAGCACAAATCTGATGTTTTAGAGTGTTAATACATTTGATGTTGTGTTGCTGAGAGCAGGGAATTCAGGGTGCTTTCAGAAGGATTTCCAGCAGCATCCCCCCACCCCGCCATCCAGCCAGCACCCAGAAGGAGGAGCACAAAGTGCATCCGAGCAGCAGCAGGGGTGAAGCAAACCCATTGCAACAACCTGCAGCAGTCAGCGTGCACTGCTGTGTGCAATCGGTGCCCCTGGAGCACCCCGGGGTGACGTGGGGAGCAACGCCGAGCCTCGAGCTTCCTTTAAGCTCACGTTGACATTGGTGAATGTGTTTTGAAAGCATCTCTTCCTGCAAGTAGAGGCCATGGCCAGCGCAGGGGGAGCACAGGATGGGGTTTCACTGAGCCCCCAGCAGTGCCAGGAGATGGGAACGGAGCCCCGCAGGCCCCCACCGCTGCCAGGAAAAGCTTGGAGGTAACAAAACTGCTCTGCAAACATCTCCCCAAATGCACTTCCCGGCTGCACCCGCTTAGAATGCTCCAGCCCAAAGCGTTGCACCGCAGTGAGACTTGTGGTTGCAGCAGGGCAATATTGTTCCCCGGGGCAGGGGGGAGGGAGGCAAATCTGGGCTGAAGTCTGATGATGCTGGAAGCAGAAAACGGTGGGTTTTGGGAAAGTCAGCGTTGTTTCAGTACTGCTTATAGCAGCAGGTTTGGAGGTGCAGGTTTGCACCGAGTCTGGCCAGAATGGGGAAGTGCAGCCCCATGGGTGGCCCCTTCTCACTGCTCCCCATCCCCGCTCCGTGTTTGTGTGCTCCCCTCTTTGTGCACAGACCTCTGGATCCCCCAGCCCCCGTCCTTGCTTGGGCTGGGAGGGAAGTTTTCCTGCTCTCACTCCATACATCCCCCCCATCCATCATCTACCTTGTGGCCACCAACCACAGGGACCAGCAGGGCAGACCTGGGGTGCACCCCATCCTTCTGCAAACACCCACCGGCGTGCAAAGGCCCCATCAACTTCCACCAGCAGAACAGGGCGTGCAGTCACAGGAAACCCAAACTCCCTGCTTTTCACAAAAGCACGCAGACACGGCCTCCCTGTCCACTGCTTCCCCTTTTTCTTTACTCTCTGGAGCCGACAGCGGAAGCCCCTCGGGGGGCCGTGTGCTGACTCCCAGCTCTGTGCAGGGCCATGGCACGCGCCCGCTGTGCCAGCCTGGACCTGGGGGGTTCCATAGCAAACACCCCCGTGTTGGACACCCTGGAGGAGCACCCACCTCAGACCCCCACCTCAGCCCTCATCTACAGCAACGTGGGTGAGTGACAGCCCAGCATCCAGCCAGAGGGGTGAGGGAGGAGGGAGGGTGCTCAGCACTGGGTTTTGTGTGCGTCTTTTGGGGGCAATAACGTGGGGTGAATAATTTCTCTCTCCGCAGGAGAGCTGCGTGCCCACCTCGTCCCCACCAAGGCCAGCCGAGGGGACGGAGCCAGGAGAGCCCCCCCGCAGCCCAGCCATGACCCCCTGCCTCCCCCCTTGCCCCAAAAGCAGCTGCAGCGAGCTGAGTCCCTCCCTGAGCCAGGCACATGGCAGCCCTACCACCAAGACCCCCCGCAACAACTCGGCAGCCCTTGGCCTCGACAGAAGGATGGGGCACACAGAAAACCCCTGACCAAATCGCAGAGCCTGGGGGACACAAGGGGGGTGGTTCTGATGCCCAACCTGGCAGATCTGACATTTGGGACAGGGGATGCGGTGCTGGGCCCGATCCTGCAGGGTCTGGAGGACCGGACAGGGCTGTGCGAGGCCATGGTGGGCTGCCATGCTGCTGGCCTGGCCCGGCTGTGTGCCCGTGCCATGGAGGGGCTGATGGGGTCCTGGGGGGGGCTGCAGGCCAAGCTGGCAGGGCAGGGCTGGGCTGCACTCAAGGTGCTGCAGCAGGAGCCATGCTGCCAGAGCGGGGATGCCTGGTATTACCGTGTGGGGGTCACTTTTAGGAAAGAACAGCTGGAGCTCGCAGCCAAGGTAAGGGGGGTTGGGGCAGCAGGAGGGGGCTGCAGGCAGCAGGAGCCCTGGGTGGGTGAGCAGGATGGACGGCATTTGGGTGGTTCCTCTTTGGCACCCACTTCTTCATTTGCAAAACAAACTGGTGCTGAAGGCTCTTGCACATCCAAGGGAGCAAAGGTCCAAGGATGACAAGGCTGGGGAAGGTGCACAAGGCCTCGAGGGGTGAGCAGATGTGGAGCAGGGCTGGGTGTCCTGACAGTGTGGGGTGAGAGGCAGCACAGCAGCTTTGCTGCTCGGCTGAGGCTGACCCCCCTCTTTATACCCTGCTTCTTCATAGAATCACAGAATGGTTTGAGTTGGAAGGGACACTGAAAGGCCAGCTGGTCCCACCCCCTGCACTGAACAGGGACACCCAGAGCCCCATCGTTTGACCTCGGGTGTCTGCAGGGATGGGACATCCCTGTCTGGACAGCCAGTGCCAGTGCCTCACCACCCTTATCATAGAAAACTTCTTCCTCATATCCAATCTGATTTCTTGCTCCAAGCTGTTTCAGCATGCACCAAAGGGTGCAGGGGAGCCCATGCACTATGCATGGGTAGGAGCTGCACATGGGTAGGAGCTGCACTATGGCCTGGCTCAAAAAAGGTTCTGTCCCAGCACATCCCCTTCCCCATCTCTCCTTGCAGGTCCTCAAGCCAGGCTGCTGCAGCACGGAGATGCAGAGCTCCCTTGGATCACACTGCAGCATCCAGCGCATCATCAGCCGCTTCACCGACCGCCTCCCGGGGGCATTGGTGCTCCCAGGTCACCCCAGTGAGCGGGGACTGTCCCCAGGCTGCCCTGCTGTTCCCCGTGTCCTGCAGGTCCTCCTTTCCCCAGATGTGCCCTACCAGACCCTGGCAGGGTTTGTGGAGAGCTCCCGTGCAGTGCATAGGAGCAGCCCTGGGCACTATGAACGCCTGGCATGCCTGCTCCTCCTGCAGCTGTGCACAGGGCTGGAGCACCTCAGGGTGCAGAATGTGGGGCAGGGTGACATCTGCCCTGAGAACCTGTTGCTGGTGCAGTGCCCGTGTCCCCCTGGCAGCCAGCAGGACAAGGAGGGGTCCGTGGGGCTGTCCCTTCCAAGGCTGCTCATCAGCAACTTCTTCAAGGTGAAAGATAAGACCAGGCCTTGTTCCACCAGCCAAGAGTGGGACTGGACCAAAGGGTCTGCTGCTCTCCCCACCCCGATGGCAGATGAGCTGAACGTAGGCATGCTGATCTATAAGATCTTGCACGTGGATATCTCCCTGGAAAAGGCTTTGGATCTGAGAAGAAATCAGCTTCCTGCAATCCCCTCCCTGTCCATCTATTCCACGGGACTCAAGCATTTGACCACACTGCTTCTCCACCGAGATCCATGCAAGAGGGTCTCCATCAAGGAAGCCAGGCACATCCTGCAGGTCCTGCTCTGGGGGCCTCGCCAGGAGCTCTTTGCTAAGAGCAGGAAGACGCTGGCCCTGCTCCAGAGCTGGCTGGAGATGAAGAGAGCATTGCTGCTGCTGAAGTTGGCTGAGAAGGCGGCCGGAGGGAGCCCTGGCCTCGAGGACTGGCTGTGCTGCCAGTACTTTGTGGAGGCCACCGAGCAGATGCTCTACCAAGTCACCCAGACTCTTTACATGCCATAAAGACCAACCTGCCCAGGAGGCTCCCCAAAGCCAAGAGCCCATGGAGGCTCCAGCTCTTATCTCCCCAACTAAAGCCAGTCCTGGCTGGAAAAATTCATTTCCAAATCTGAAACTGCTCCCACACAGCACGTGAACAGATCTAAGCAAGGACCAAACCCTCAGCGCAGTACCTTGGCTGCCACGATGCAGATGTGTTTTTGCATCCTCAGCTGATTTTTGTTCAGTGCTTTGAGACCAGCTTATCAGAGCCTCTCAGCAAAGATAGCTGGATGGAAGGCACAGGATGAAGCAGCAGCTCAGCAGCTCATTGCCCTGAGTTAAAGCAAATAAAGCTCAGGCTTTTCCCAAAAATCCCTCTTCTTGCATGGCTGCTGTCATTGTTTTAGATAACAATAAGAAGTCATACATTATTGCTCACTTAAGACGCACTTATGGGAGGAGAAACGCGACACATCATACAGCCGTGTCCTTTTTAGGAACAGCTTGTGGCATAGTCACAAATAGACTCGGAGGAGGAAATAAAGCAGCCACACAGCTTCAATAAAACCCAGAGCTGAGCCACTTAAACGCTGCTCCTTTCTGTGCTTTCTTACAGTGCTATGCACCCTGGGGATCTAACGTGGGAGGATCATGAAGCTGAAGTTCACTGCTCCGTGGCGATGAGCTGGAGCTGCACTGAGCACTTGGGTTTGTAGCTGCTGGGAGATGCCTGCAGGTCTGTAAGAGACCCACTCGAGGTCTACCAGGAGCCAGCAACCAGCACATCCCATGCATTGCATAGCAGTACCTCAAGGTGCATGGGATGTGGAGAAGTCCATCCATGAGAAAGACAGAAATTTGATCATCCCAAAGGCCTGGCTGCAGCACATGGGGTGGCAGAGAGGGATTGGCACATCAGGGGCACAAGCCGATTGCACACAGCACTGGGCTGCATGGCACCTCCTCCCCTTGCTGGGAAGCACTGCTCACTCGTGGGCAAGATGCTTCCATCTGACTCAGGCTGTGACTCAGCTGCGAGCAGTGCTGCACAGAGCCCCATAACCACACCTGTCCCGGGGCGTGCGAACGGACACGTCTCAAGGACACGTTGCACGTGCACTCACTGCTCAGCACAGAGCAGCTCAGCACCTCGATCCCCAACCCGGCCTGCACAGAGGGCGGGGTGTCATGCAAGGCCCTGCTTGGGTAGCTGGTATAATTATTAACCGAGTAATTATTAATCTGCTCACAGCTATCACCTGACAGCAGCAGAGCAGTTGCTGCAGGCTGTGCAAAGGGAGAAAAATGCTCCCAGTCAGCAGGTTCCTGCCCTGTCCCCTCGGTGTGCTGCTGCTTCCCCAGGGCACTGCTTTCTTCCAGCCCAGCATGGAAGCATGTCCCATCCCCATCCATTTTCATGGCCATGGGCTCAAAGCCGTACCCAGCTGAGATCACAGCCCTTTTCTGTGAGCATCCCTGCCCTGAGCGCCTCCCAAAGCAAAGCAGCACAGGAAGTGAAACACAGGATAGCCAGGTCCTTTGGATCAGAGATGGGAAGAAATGGAGACAAACAAGCTCCTTGCCCAAACACGACCCAAGCACAGCCCTCTCACAAAGCCTTCATTCTCCCAGTCAGAGCCTTTGGGCCAGAACCACGCAGAGGCATTGCCCTGCATCCTGTAGTATCATGCATGGCTACAAGATGGCAGTAAGAGCCCTGGCAGCACAGCCTGCTTGGGCATTTCACCATGAAAAAAAAGAAAGAAAAACAAACTGCTTTGAATGCCCATTCCAGCCCCAAGCTGGCCGGATCCTGCACTGCTGCCACTTGCATCCCCAGTTCTGATTTCCACCCAACCACCACCATCAGTGAACCTCGCCCCTTTTGCTAAGTGGCTCAGAATACCCATGGTCAGCAAGTTTGTAGGGAACAACAGCTTCAGAGCAGAGCTTGGGCTCTGTGTTGGCACATCCCAGCAGAAAGCAGGCAGCAGCAGCACTGCTGCAGCACATCAGAAGAAAAGAGATTCCTCTAGAGAACCCTCTTAGGAATTTCAGGCCTTTGCCAACTTGGTGAGGAAAAGCAGAAACATCCTCTCCCTCTCCACTCCATCTCCCCCACCCTTCTGTTTTGCTGCTGGCAAGTTCACAGCTTTCCCAAAAAACAACGCAGGAAGAGCAGGATTACAAGGCTGCAAGCACTTAATAGGGGGAAAGAGGGAGGGCTACTGCTGCACTGGGTCCACCAGGACGCAAGGAGCATGCTCTGCAGGTGGGAAGGGTCAAGATGTTAGCAAAAGCTTTGTGTAAGCACCCAAAGCCCATTAAACAGACCATAAGAACACTCACCCTTAGCAACACTGCTAATTTAACAGGCTCTCCAGGAAGACAGTGCCACAAGCTTCCGTCACTGTGCTGCAGCAAGAGTTACCACTGCAGGATGTGCTCCCTGCTGCTTTGAGAGGAGAGCTGGAAGGATGGCAGTTCAATCTACCCCACACAATTCCTGAATTGCTTAGCCCAGCACAGTTGCCCAAGCATCACCCCACAGAGCAGTCCCTCATGGTCCATTTATACATCCCAACACGTGTGTTTTCCTAAGGCCAAGTGCTGCAGAGACATCAAGCCAAGGGCACAACATGTTCTGTAATGATGTGCTTGGATTTACACCAACTCACAGCATGAACAAGGGGGAGTTTCAAACCCAGTAAAATAACCTTGCACCCAACACACAAACTGTGCCAGCAATTCGCTGCTACATATTTTATAGACAGTTTGATAGGATCAGATGGTACAAAACAAGCCCATAAAGCTGCAGATATAAGCACTAAAAAAAATGTGAAATATGCTTTCAAGTTCAGCCCCTCTGGAGACTTACCTCTGTAGCAGTTTCAGTGCAAGCACTGGTAATTCTAGCAACATGCAAGCACTTTTTCCCTCATGTTGAGTACTGCAGACATTGAACAGCTGAGGCTCTACAAACATGCTACTATACTCAACTCCAGCCCTTTCTCGTTCAATCCCAGTTTCATCACACTTGCAGCTCCTGTTATGAAGGCTGCCTGGACTGGGTCACAGTAGCTATGCAAGTGCCACGAGCCTTGCTAGATCAGGATTGCATTGAATCATCCTGCACACGAGCACAGGACTCCACTGCTACCACTGACACAGCCTCCAGAGCCTGCAAGTGTGTATTTGATACTCTGAGACACCTGAACCTCATGGCATGTGTAAGCTGTGCTTCTCAGCATTTCACTTGTGACTCTGTAATCAGCAGAGGCCCCAAGTACCCTATGAAACATTGATAGAGCAGGAATCTGGGGATCACAATTACCAGTGAAATGGATAATCTGCTAATTATTTCAATAAAAGCAGGCTTTTCCTGGACTGCAAGTCCTGACAGATCATCACTTTGAGTTCCCATCAAGCAACAAGTGACCCAAAGCCTTTCCCTACCTGAAATAGCTGGGACAGTTCCAGAGGCACCTCTTCAGAGTGCAAGTCTTAAACAGCTTAAAACCAGCAATAAAAAGTAAAATATAAATTTTTATTTAGAATTAAAGCAAATACTTCAGTATCACAAACACAATATTAAACTTCAAGAAATATACTGCTAATTTGGAGGGAGCATTTATTTTTGCACAACCACAACATGCGCACAAATCCAGAAAAAGATGTGGAGTCTGAAATTTTCAACATCTCACCACCAGAGCAGTTGGTCACAACGTTTCATACAAAGTTACATATACTGTAATAGATGTTGACAAAATTTCTACAGAATCATCTTTATAGACAACAAGAAAGCTCTAAGAGGCAAACATTGCAATCTATTCTTCTTCTGATGAGTCTCTCTCAAACGTGTAGGCCATGAAGCAAGCATCTGGTCTCTTGGGGACAAGGGGATGCCCTGGTCTCACAATCTCAAAGCCCAAAAAGCTGAAAGTACGGAGCAATGCAGCTAGAAAAAAAAAAGGAAGACATTTTATCACGTGATTCCATAACAGAAGCTAAAAGCATCCATCAAAACCAACTTCAAATATTGCATCAGCCTTTCTAATGCTGAGTTAACACCTACCTCTATCATCTCTGTTCTTGTGGAAACAAATGAACACATGATCAACTTGAAGCTGTTCTTCAGCAAACTCCAGAAGAACTGCAAAACTGTGAGACAAACAGAGGGCGTTGAGTGCACACAGGCAAGCACTTCCCTCAGATGTAAGGAGCAAGGCCCTGTGAAACTATCCTCGCTCATTGTAAGCAGAAGTGAAAGTCATGGGTTGAAGACTGACACCAGCAGGAAACACCAAGCCAAGTTTTAAACAAGGGGCACAAATCTAAGTCATCGTTACACCAAATTTCTGAAGGGAGAACTGCAGAGGCAGACTCAGAATGAGGCTCCATTTTCAGTGCATAAAGGCAGCTATCACTACCAGGAGCAGTTTGACATCACAGATCTTTTAGTTGGTTCTGGCTGACAGAACAGGCAGAGGATGACCTCAAACCAGGACCATTTGATGCTCTTTTACATGAGTCTGCCACCAAGCACCGTAACCACACTTCCAATTTTAAAAAATGGAAAAGAACAGTACAGTGTTTGAGACCTTCATGACAATTTGTACTAAAGTTGCATTTTATTCTACCCACCTGTCCTTGCTCCCTTCAGGCAGAGCACCACTGGGTATTTCAATATAGAGGTTGTTGTTGTTCAGCACTGCTCTCCAACTAATGTGTTTGGCATCTGTAAGCCTTGACTGGACATTCAGAATTCTTGTCCTGTTATTAGATGTTAGTTCTTCTGTCACATTCAGCCGATTATCCTGCAGAATTAAAAAGTGCAACGTTACTTCCAGTTCATTTTGGAGATAGGTTTAAGGCAAAAGAGCCTTCCCACCAATCAGAGAGAGCTGCTTAACAATACTCATACTCACCGAATAAAATAAATTAGCTGAAAGATTGTGATCCCTCTGACTATTCCCTCGCCCACCTGGGATCTTCAGGGGTGGGTGAGGGACATCAGGAGCACCACCGAGGCCCCGGACCCAGGTTACTACAGCAATTGAAGGGAACCCTGGAACTAGAAAAGGATGACAGAGGTAAGCAAGCATTAAGAGTCATGAGAATTCTAAGTTTTATAAGCATTAGATGGCAGTGGTTTTTGATTTTGTTTTTTAAATAAACCTAGATCAAGGGAACAACTCCTACTGCAACCTAGTTGGTAGCAAGACAAAGGAACATCCAGGCCAAGCACAGAACATCACCTAAAGTCCAGAGCCAGAAGCACCAGAAAGGCATCACCGGAGTACCTGGATGGAAACACTAGCTTGGGGGGTGAAAATACTCTCAGTTTGGAGGGAGGTGTATTTCCCTATCAAGGCAGCTGTGTATTTGCTGTACATCTGACCCAATCTCAAGAAAGGAACCATTTTACTACTGTGTATGTGATGCCACAGACCCCATTTTCTTTCCCATCTTGATCTCCTAAGAGATCATGATTGGCCCAGCAAGCTGGAGATCCTTTTCCCTTATGATATGTAGCCTTAATTAAATTAGAATTTTGCATCAGTGCTTTTAGCTTGAGAACAGAAAATACATGAAATAGCATTATCTGTGAGACTGTCTCAAAAGCTCACGATGCAAAGCTCAGAAAGCAAGGTCTGGTTTCAATGCAAATCCAAATATCTGAAAAATCTAAGAGCCTTCCTGACTTTTAGAGCCTTTTTACATCACTCAGCCACGCTGCGGTACTTCAGGTGAAGGATGTTCTATCGAGACATGAGCATTTCTTGTACACACGCTGAGTTCCATCCCATCCATCAGGCTGCTTCACTGTGATCAAGCCTTTACTGTACAAACAGCAAAAGCTGTGCCTGGCCCCTCCCTCTGCACCATCCCTCACCCTGCAGGCTCACTCTTGAGTTGCGTCATCTCAGCAGATGCAGCAATCGAGGCCCTTAGGGAAATTTTCACAATCGTCCTGTCTGTGAGTGCCAGCAGCCATTTGCAAATCAGAATAAACACGTACAAAATAATCCACCATTTTGCACAGTTCACACGAGTTTAATTTTTTTTTTTTTTTAACGAGCTTGACATCTGTGATGAATAATCCATATTGGAAAGGCAATGAATGGCCTTATAGGTCTAATATTATATGCTGGAAGCATTAGTAAGCACAGCAGCTATAAAGTTATTAAGCTAAAGACGATAATTTGCTCAATCTCAATTAAATAAGGGTTCAATCCACTATTTTAGGACCTCTGGAATACTTTAATAGCAGCCTTATTTACTTCTGAATCACTGTAGATCCCTGTATTCCTCATCAGCCTTAAAATAAGCCCTTAAACAAACCAGGGCAGCACCAATCCTCTATGACCTCACCTTTCACCCCCAAGTATACAACAAAGGCTGTTCACACCTTGCAATTCTGTGTTTCAGTGATGCTCAGGCGCACCTACTCCGGTTAAAAAAAAAGTATTATCACCATTCTGAAGGATAAAAACAGCTTTTGGTGACATTGTGGAGCTGCTCTCCATTCTGAACCAGCTGCATCCATCACTTCCCACGCAGAGGGCACAGCAATGCTCCTCAGCCTCCACCTCCTAACACCACTCACCCCAAAGCTGCTGCATCCTCAACATCTGCTGGCATTATTTAATCCCCGCTCGACTTTTAAACTACCAGCTCCCATAACGCTCTGCTTTGGGCTCAGCGCCCTCGATTCGTCGCTCTCCAGGAGACCTGCGCTTACATAAGGGGATAACAGCTCGCACTGCATCTCCCAGCCCCATCAGGCCCGCTTCCTTTTCCCAGCGGTGCCCCCCGCCCATCCCCCTCCTCCCTCCCTCCCCCCCCAGCAAACGTGGCACCGAGCCGCGTGGGGGGGGGGATGGAAGGGAGGGGGGGGGCGATGTGTGGGGGTGTAACCGCGTGACACGGGCAGCTCTCAGACGCCGAAATAAATAAATTTTATTTGCTTCTGGTTGGCTTTTTTTGTTTGTTTTTGGGTTTGTTTTTTTTTTCCTCCTTCTCACCCACCTGCACCCCTCCTCCCCCTTTGCCCTGTATGAGTGAGGAGGCCGCAGCACCGCCCCGCCCCCACCCGCCACACAGCACCCCCTCCCCCCCTCCAACCCTGAGGGGGGGCACCAGGGCGGGCCTTGAGGGAAGGGGATGGAGGCCCCAACCCCTCACCTGCTCTGTCCGGTACTGAGGCTCAGCACGGCGGGCATGATGGTGCTTTTATTCCCCTCTTTCTCTCTAGCGAAGCAGTGACTGTTGAGTATCCGCTGCAGGGAGGATTTCACCATCCGGCCGCTCTGGTCCGAACCCCGAAACCCTCCGCCGCCCCCCCGCCGACCGCTCTCCAGGCACTGCTACACAAAATGGCACCCCGGCCGCAGTGGGTTCTTATATACCCTCGGGAAGGCCACGCCCCCTCCTATGGTGACGCACCGTTGGGTGGGCCACGCCCCCGGACGGGAGAAGACTCCTTCGCAGTGGACGGTTCAACTGTCCATGATAAAATCTCGCTTTCCATTGGCTGAAATGAGTGCAGAGGCGGAACGAGAAGCTCTTTCCCTATTGGCGGGCAGCGCGATGCGTTCAGAAAATCGACGGGACGGGGAGGAGGGGCACAGAGGGCTCCGATTGGCTGCGCCCGGCGAGAGTAGGCGGGGCTCGGCTGGAAGCCTTCTACGCAGCGCCGTAAGTCCGCAATTCCCTCAATAGCGCCGGTTCGAATCCCGCGTCCCCGACCGTGCCTCGCTGAGGTAAACTGCGGCGGGAGGGCGGGGCTCGGCGCATGCGCGGGAGAAAAGAGCGGGAGCGGCGGCCGCGAGCGCCCCTCAGCGGCGCGCTGTGAGGTCGGGGGGCGTCGATCCCATAAATCAATAACCGCCCACCCCAGAGTGGGGCGGGTAGTCCTGAAAGGGTGACCGAAATGGTTTCCTCCAGCTTATTATTTTATTTCTTGTGCCTGCGTTTGGGCAGTGCCAGGGTCAAGTATTAAAAGCAATTTTTTCTCAGAGCACGACCCAAACTTGGCCCCAAATCCCCCCTGTTCCCCCCACATCCCTTCCAGCACCCCCAGATTTCTCCATCCTATGCACACATCCTCCCATACCCCTCACACTCCCCCATGAACGCTTTATATACCCACGCACCCCATTAACCATGCCTCCACCCCAATTTTGGGGTCACCCCAACCCCCCTGTGCTTAAATCTCCAAAATGCTCCCAGATTCCGCCCTTAACCCTTTATATACCCAAATCCAGCCCCTATTTACCCCTGATATACCCACATCCCTCCCCAGTTTCCCTCTGATCTCCCAATGTCCCCCCTAAATCCCCCCATATCCCCTCGGATGTCTGTATTCCATTCCTCATTCAGCCCAGGCAATTTCAAGCCTGTTTTATTCCCTTCAGCAATAAAGTAGCTGCGTTTGAGTATTTCCATATTTTTCACCTTATGTTTATTTGCTTTAAGATATTCCCATCCAAAAGCTCTGAGCTTTTGGGGGGTAAAGCATTCACTGGTTCCACTTTGAACAAGAATCGAAATCCTCGCCCTCTGAAACTGCAATTGACTGCAATGGAACAAAGCATATTGCCAAAGAAACCATTGTCTGTTTTCCTGCAGCTTAGATGACAAGCCTGGCACGGTCAGCACGCAGTGACTGCTCTGGGAGTCGTGGCAAGTAAGAAGTACAGGAGAAAAGGCCTTTTCCTGCTGCAGGTAGCTGCTCTTTGCCCCCAGAACACAGAATAACTGTGGTATGAGTGCTTTCATCCTGCTCTCTACACACTGATTTATGGACGGGAAGCTGATTGCCATCTAATGTATTATCCAGGGACCAACTTGAAACAATAGGATAGCTGCGACTCAGGAAAATTGGGAGCAAATGAAGCACATCAGAGAAGATTTGGCAATTCACGTTTTGTGTGTTGTTTCAGCAAGGCTTTCCTGAATGGAGGGATGGATCTATTAAGCTGCCTTAGCGTTTTGGTTTAGGTTTCATTATTTCTAATAATGGCGTTTATTATTTATGTAGTAATCCGACTGTAAGTCCTGATAATGGCACAGTGTCAGAGGGCTTCATCTTCGCAGCTGCTCCCTGCTTTATTGTGGCACTGGAAACAGCTTTGCTTGCTGGATACCTGTCATCTCAGTGAGCCCTCATTCCATTTTACAGCTGAGTGACCTGGATAACACTGGTGTTCTGTAGTGTGCAAAAAGCCCAATCAACCTGTTTTCTTTTTAAATATTGAATGAGATTAGTTCCAGCTGCAATTTTGCTGAGATAGCCTGACTTTTCCAGTTTAGCAGTGACAGTGATTCATGCATCCTCACAGAGAAGGCTCTGACTCAGAATTTCAGGATTAGCAGCTGAGGCACTTTGAGATGTTGCCATCCCCAGCTGTTTTTTACCACTGTTTTGCCATCATTACCCTCCTGTAGCAGAGCAGGCAGAATTAGCTGCTCCAGTCACATTCCCATTTGGCATCTCTGGCAAAGCCCATCTCATCCCTAGGTTATCTAATAACTGGGCAGTGAACCCAGACAAGTGATGTGCAGGTGTCCATGACTGCTGGGGCATGGCAGCTTTCAACCCAGAGGCCAGATGGGTTCATCACAAGTCCTGTGCAACGGCCTCCTTGTTCCACTGGCTCTAAATACTGCTTCTCCAAGGCACGTTTCAAAGGAGCAGAACAGTCCCAGGGCTGGAGGTGCAGCAGGCAGCCTGGGGCAGTTGGTTTGCAGCAGTTCTAAACTGCTTGCTGAACTCATTGGAGGAGAGAGCACACAGCAAGTCCCAGTTCTGTGTCCTACACAAACAGGTCACAGCAATTAGGCTGTAAAGTCAACTGGGAAAATACTTTGTACAGTCTGAGTTACTAAATAACCAGATCTGTTAAAAGAGAAAGTACAGAAGGGGTGACGATGCTGAACTCCGGATTAGGAGTCTGAATTTCAGTAGCTTCAGGTTGAGGAAAACGAGAGTTTTATTTTCTAGAAAATTGCCTTTTTTTTTTTTTTTTTTTTTTACCTCATTCCAGCACGTTTTTCAGTCTCTTTTTATAAGAGAGATCCCAGACAGTAGTCAGAATCCCCAGTTAATGATTCTTTATTTCTACTTTCCAGAAGGTCATAAAATGGAAGAAGAATTTGCAGCAGCACAGGAATAAGTGAAGTCAAGGTCAAAGTTGGCAGCTGATAGAAGCAGATGTTCAAGCAAGAAATGTATGAGACCAGCAACCAAATGTAGTTCCTCTTCATTGTCTGCTTTCAGGCTTGCATGAGTTTGTGAGGAGATGAGACAAAGCTAGTGCATAGAAAGCTGTACAGATCCCCAGACACCCTTAGGATTCAAGCATTGATCTTTCTGTGTTGTTTTCTGTTGGTGAGAAGAACGAGCTGCACCCACATGCGTGTGCTAGAGTAGCAACAAAGCTCCAGAGGAGGTGAGTGGAAAAGATTGGTAATGGACAAAGTGCAGAAAACCCCACATATATTCTGCTCAGCTGCACCACGCTGTCATAGCTCCTCTTGGGAGTGGGATAGGAGGTGTTTTTGACATTGAGCAGTGCTGTGGGAATTGATCTGCCTCTGATTTGCTGAGTAGGGAAGTGCAACAGAAAGAAAAACACGAGCTTTCTTTTAAAGCATGTGCAGTTCTTGCATAGCATTACACACTATCTCCCCAAAAGTAATTAAAAAAACAACATTTTAATAACTCAAGTATCCCAGAGTATAAAATCCAGTTGTTCTGGTTGCCCTCATTCTTTCTGTTCCAGCAACACACGCGTTGTTCTTACAGCTTTAAGAATTAGCTAGAGATGCAGCCAAGCACCAAAACGGAACAAAATATGACGCAGGGATGTCTGTCATGTTGTGTTTTCACAGAAATCAGTCTATGTGATGACTTCTCCACCCTGTAATTCAGCCTCTTTTTGTCCCAAGATAATTTAAACATTCGTCTTGGTCAGCTCTGTGTGGAGACAGACTACAGCACAAGTTTATAAGGTTATGAGCATGAGTTTATCTAAATACTAGACGGTGTTGTTTCTAAACTTTGTAAGACCTAAGTCATCTAAAGTGGGGCCACTAAATCTATCCATCTCCTCCTTAGTTCTGATTCATTGCCTACAGGTAACTCCCAGTTACCTAGTTCTAAATACTCCCCTACTAACTATGCTCTTTGGTGTGCTAGAATCTATTCTCATCTTTGTGGGCCATGTAATTAGAACACTTTTTCTATCATTTTCATCGACTTCCCTGTGAGAATGATGTGATTTGAAGGTCAGCTTTTCTGCAGACCCACTTGTGCTGTAAGAAATTCTGCGTGCCACTGCAAAGTGAGGCTGGGATTCCTCAGTGTTCACCAGCACAGGGAAGAACTTATTTTTCAACATTTCAGTGAGATATTAAACAACAAATGTCTGTACTTCCTACCAGAGAAACTTAGGAACTCTGCATTCTCACTTCATAACAGCCACTATGAAGAGGATTATCGATTGAAGTCAGATGAGGTAAGACGCTTAAAATGCTTTAAAATCTCATTGTTTGTTTTAAGGGTGTAAACTAACATAGTGTTGGTAGTGATGAGTTGTCTTCTCTAGGTTACCAGGATCAGGCTTAGAAGCACTGCAGTTCAGTTTCTTTGTAAATAATAATAATTATTATTATAAAAATAATGCAGAGGGGAGCAGCTTGCAGCAAGAAAGGGACATGTGACAGTGAGCAGCAGCCAGGGACACAGTGGCTGTCAGGGACAGCACCTCAACATGGCAGGGAGAGAAGCTGCTTGAGCAGTTTGTCCTTATGGCTCTGTAATTTCAGAGTAATTGCTTGATTTTTGGATTGTTTTTTTTTTTTTTTTCTCTCCGGGTGCTGCTGCCAATTATGAGCAAATGGTCATGAGGTATTTAGAGGTAGTTGCACAACAATAAAGTGCAAGACATTGCAACATCTTCCCTTCTTCCCTTCCACGATCCATTTTCTGTTTCGTTTCCTTTGAGCCAAATGTAGTTTGCAGGGTTTGCCCTCTCCATCCCCACATTAACAAGAGATGATGAAATTCAGGTTCTTCCATATTGCAGATCCACAGAGGGGAGACAACAAGCCCCATCTGCCCGCATGCATCCTGTGTTTTGGAGTGGCATTCTGCTGTGAGCACTTTCTTTCTCCTCTGACCCCTTTGGTTGCTGGAGCTTTGCACACTGGATTTGTTTTTGCTTAACTTCCCTTTTCTCTTGCAGAGAAGTTCTGGTGTTTCTTTCCAGGAAGGGCTGCTTTCACACCCTCCGTGTTGCAAGAGCTGGGCAGGATTGCTTATTTTCCATCGGCTCTTGTTGTGCTTGGATCAGTCAGCCTTAGGGACCGGGAAGCGCACGGTGCATGAAGCTCAGCTTTTGTAACTGATAATTTGGTTTGGAAATGTTATCCAAACAAACAGCAGGATGAGAGTTAAGACCTGTGCAGAATCTGCTCCGTCAGAAACGAGTTCAGAGTCAGTTCTGCCTGCCTAAACATTTCGCCCAACAGCTCATCAAAATGGAAATATTCAAAGGAGACTTTTCCCCCCCGATTAGATCGTTCCTTTGATAAGAGCATTAACGAGCATATTTTCCCATAAATAAAATGAACAAGCCTCGAGGGCAGGGAAGGTTGTTTCGCCTGCAATGAGTTATGTGCCACGCTCATCCTTTTGCTGCTATGGGAATCACTTTGCCCCTTTGCTGCAGCTGGGAACAGCCTGAGAGCAGCCTCAGTGCAGCAGAGCTGACAACATGGGCTCTCTTTCAGCTGTAGACATCTAGTTCTTGCAGCTTTATTTCAGGTATAACCCCAAAAGCTGCTCAGAGCAGTGCCAGCACCCAGCACAGCCCCTCAGTGACATCGGTGACACAGGAGAGGACAGGCAGTGCTCCTGGCAGCCTGTTTGTTTGAGCTTCACGCGGCCTCATGCTTTCTATCTGTGAGCTCCTGTGGTTGAACCAATATTGACTCAAGGCTGTGTGTACAGAGCTGGTCAGCAATTCCCCCAGAGCTGCAGCCGACCGTCGGGCAGCTCAGTGGGATGCTCAGCAGTTCAGGATGGGGACAGTTATAAAGAATGAAAAATGCTCACGAATTTCAGACTGCTGAGCCCATTTTCAGACTTCCAGTCCCCAGGTGTGAGCCCCAGGGTGTCCTCACACTTGGAGTTTGGAAGTCTGAAAGTGATGGCAGCTCTATTATGCCAACAGAATTCCAGTTTTCCCAGAGGTTTCCACTGATGGAGCTGCCTTAGGTACACATTAACTTACACTGCCTCCTGCTTGTCATTAATGAGAGCTCCAGAACATGGTCCTTCCATCCACCAAAGTGCACTTCCACACAGTGCTCTGTGTGTGCTGTAACTCCCATACAACCGAGGTGCTGGGAGATAAAGAGGTGCCATAAAGAAAACAGGAAGCCTTGACATGACTGTTCTAATTGGACTAGTCACCCGATTTGTTTAATTTCCTGCTTACTGTGACTTTTACTAATTGGAAAACCTACTGCTCAGGAGTGCATGCAAGGAAAGAGAGCAGCTGTTACAGAAAATAAACTGTCTGTGCAAGGAGTATTTCCAAAATTTGGATTTGGGGTGTTTTAGCCTCTGAAGTTGTGGCTCAGTCCTCTCTTGGGTTCATTTCTCTGGCTAATTTTGGGCTGGTTGCTGGGTGTATCTTAATACGTTGCATGCAGCTTGCAGTGTGCCCTGCTGTCACGCAGCACTGGGTTTCTTCGTGTACAATTTCTGATTTCCTTGGTGTTCCCAGCTGCATCTGCTGCCCTGTGTCACTGGGTGGGGAAACTGAGGCAGGGATGAAGAACTGTGTGGAGGTAAAGCTCCTCCAGCCTCAAATCCTACAGAAAAAATGCACTATTTGAGGCTTTTTTTTAACCTCTTGCTTTGTTTTTTTCATCATCCTACTGACCTCAGAGTACCTTTGGAATAAGCAAAATGTTTTCTTGAGCCTAAATTATCTGTCCTTATCTGCCTCAAACCTCATTGATAATCCTCTTTGTTGCCTTTAAAAATATTCCTGGGAGATTATTCTTTGGCAATGATGGTTATGTGTAGTTCTCTTTTATATTGCACTCAGCTTTTCTTTCAATAGCTTCCTGATGTCTTGCTGCTTGGTATTGTTGGGTGGATGTACTGTGGTTTCGGATTTGAAATGAGCTCAGAAATACTCTTCCCTGCGGTAAGAGGATGCTATTTTTCCCATGAAATGTTGCAGAGACAGCCATCAAATATTGATTTATTCAAAATTGGGTTTTCTCTTTTCAGTGCTCTCATGGTGATGCAGATTGACATTGCTGCTGCCCGTGCTGCAGCTCAGGCTTTGTCCAGCAGCACCAGTGGGATGCAACAAGGGTGAGTGTTTGCATCACCACCCGTTAAACTCTTTGAATTTTAACTACAAAGGAATCCACTCCAAAACCATCAGGTCCAAGTAGCACATTGAGCTTATTTGGTTGGTTCAGACCCACTGGAGGACACAGACACCCTCCACAGCCCAAATGCTTCTCATAGCAGCACTGAGACCTTTTTTCCATGACCCCCAGGTATAACAGCTGTGACCCATTTGTTTGGAGGAAGCTGTAAGATTAGGAAAAACAAGCTGTTCTTAATTTTCTTCCCAAATAAGCCATTGTTGTTGCTCTCCAAGCTCCCTGCTCGTTATGATATTTTGCAAAGTCAACAATCTCAAGGCACACAGCATCCAAGGGATGGCAGCTTGTTTCTCTGCTTTGATTTTTTCATCTGGGAAGATGCTGAGAGCCTTCAGCATGGCTTTATGGAGACACTGAGAACGGAGGCTTCCCATGGTGCAGGGTTCAGCTTCCCAATGGGATGTCACATGCAGAGGTGTAGGGCCAGAGGACACCTTCAGAGTCAAACCCAGATATGCTGTCCCCACATAATCCTGGGGTCCCACTCACCTCCTTTTGCCTTGTTTTGATGATTATCAGGGAAGCATCCCAACCACTCTATGCCTTTGCTGCTACAGATGTAAAACAACCCATGACCATGTTAAGTGCCATCACCTCTTAGGCAAAACCCAGCTGTTCATTTGCTGCCTGTTGCGATGGGAGGTGAAAAAGCAGAAGCACACAGAGCAAGGAAGCAAAAGCCTGGTTTGTGCACCTGGGAGGTTACAAGTGTGATAATGGGGTTTTGGTGTTATGTTGTATGAAAGGGCTGCTGCAGCCTCAGCACTGTCTGCTGTGGTTTCGTTGGGTCTCAGCTTTGATGTTCAGCTGAAAGCTTTCTTCCGTGCTCTGGCAGAGGGCTGCAAACCAGCTCAGGTCTGAGGCACCGGCTCTGCAGTGTTGGGGTGGAAGGAGGTTGGCAAAGCTTCATTCTGCACCACAAAAATGTGGCTTGGAGGTCTCCCACCAGTCTGGGCCTGAGCCTGCCTCATTTCCATGTGCCCATCTTTGATGAGGAACTTAGAAAATATTTTTTAGTGAAAACTTTGCTTTTCATCTTGCTTCGTGTTCAGAGCTGCATGGATCCTGCAGCCCCCATTCTTGCTGTGGGCAGCTTTGCAGGCATGGTGGGTGCAGGGAGCATTGCTCAAGGCAGAGCAGGAGCAAAGCACCAAGAGGGGCTCAAAAACAATGCTTGATGTGTAAGGGCAGCCTCAGCCCTACTCCTGCTGTTTTGCAGGTCACGGAGATGGGTGCAAAGAGCTATGCTCTTATTTGGGTGCTGTTGACCTGGCTGTGTGCTCTGTGTAGGCTTGGCACTGGGCAGGGGACACTGGAGGGCTTGAAGGTGGTGTCCTCCCTCCTTGCATGGAGGCTTGCGTTTGGGGATGGGGACAATGCTAGGAGTGTGTCTCTGAAAGCAGTGGGGATAGAAGGGAGTCAGGGATCATAGAGTCATGAAGGTTGGAAAAGACCTCTTAGATCCTGAATTCCAACACATCCCACCATGCCCACTGGCCACGTCCCTTAGTGCCACATCTACACAGTTCTGAACACCTCCAAGGATGGTGACCCCACCACTCCCTGGGCAGCTTGTGCCAATGCATCTCCAACTTCTTTGGAGAAGTTGTTCTTCATACCCAGCCTGACCCTCTCCTGGTGCAATATGAGGCCATCCCCCCTCATCCTATTGCTGTTACCTGGAGCAGAGCCGACCCCCCCTCACCACAACCTCCTTTCAGGAGCTGTAGGGAGTAATGAGGTCTCTTGAGCCTCCTCTTCCACAGACTGTCCCGCTCCATGCCCTCAGCCACTACCATAAGACCTGAGTAGGAATGGAGAGGAGAAGAATTGTGGTGGGGCTTTGCTTGGTTTGGGCACCTCGACTCCCCAGCCTCATGCTCCAGCACCAAGTACCGTAGCTTTCTCCTAAAGCATCCCCAGCATCCAACCATAGCCCCAATCCCAAACCAATGCATCTCTTTGGCACACCAGAGCCACCCCAACCCCTCTCCCCTCCTGCCCAGCACTGACTCAGACATCCCCTACGTGCTGTGCAGAGTTTCCTCGCCGTCACCCCGCACCTCGCACCGCAGGGTGCAGCGAGGCTGGGCCGGTCTGTGCATGCACACTGCCTTTGTCTGCTGCTGTAGAGGAGCAGAAAGTGCTGGAGGGAAACCTCTGAACGGCAAAAACCACGCAGGGCTCCATTGTTCCTTGCATCCATGGAAAATTACTCCTGCTCACTCTTCCTTTTGCTTGAGCGGCTCCAAACCACGCTCAGAGGAGGAGGGGAGTGAGTGTACGTGCGGGGTCAGAGCTGTTCCTTTTTTTTCTTTTTTTTTTTTTTACTTTCTTCTAAATGATTTATTCTGAAAGGCTCTGGGCTTTGTGTCGCTGGGAAAACACAAGCAAGCAGAAAGTGTTTGGGGAGCAACCATTTAAATGTCACTGGGGGAGGAAGAGGAAGCAAGGAGCCCCCACACCCCAGCAATGCAGCCCCACTCCCATCTGGCACAAGTTGTCTCTTTGCTGTTCTGTCTCTAAGCAGAAAGCATTTCTGCCCCTCACCGAGCCGCCCATTGGCTGCTGTTGCCTTTGGAGGAAGCTGCAGGCGTGCGCAGAGCAGCATTGCTGTGAGCATGCACAGAGCAATACCCTTCAATTGTGCAAAGAGCAGCACTCCTCAGAGAATAGTACCACTGTGAGCACACACAGAGTAGCATCATAGCAAGCATGCACAGAGCAAAATCACTGGAAGCTGGCAGTGCTCAGGGCCAGGGGTTGGAGCAACCTGAGATGTCTCTGCCCATGGTGCTGGGTTGGAACTGGATACCTCCAACGTCCCTCCCAACCCAAACCATGCTGTGGCCCCATGATGTTTCTGTGATAAGAGTGCACAGAGCACTTGCTGCAAGCACTTTTCTGCTCAGTCAGGACAGAACTGGGTGTCACCTGCTGCTTATCTGCAAGCGTTCCTTTGACAGAGGTGTTCCTGGCACCCACAGCTCTTTTTGCACCCAAGAGTATTGGGTTGGGCTTTTTTTGCATATATTTTTGTCTTTGCAATTGGTTTTCTTCTGCTTTGGGAGCTGCTTGGGTGTTCAGGGAGCTGGGGTGACCTTTTGTGTCATGAGGCAGGTGGATTGGGATGCAGATGGGTGTTCAGGTTTGGGGTGTCAGGGTGCCTGCAGGGTGCCTCTGGTTTCCATGTGAACCACTCCATTGTTTTTTCTCCCTAGGACCTAAATTCAGATCTGTTGCAAAACCCATAGAGGGGCAGAGGGAGGGAAGCTGGAGGCATCTCCCTGTACAATCAAGGAGCCTCTCCTGCTGTCCCCCTCTATTTCTTCACCTTTTTCCCCTGAGATCTCAGGCTGTTGCTGGCTTCTCTGCTCTTCCCAGCCCTGGACAGGACAGCAGGGAGCGATATTTAAAGCAGCCGAACCCGCGTAGCTGTGCAGTGACCTCCTCTCCCTTCTTGGCTCTGAATTCCTCGCATCCTTCTTTTCTCTGTAAAAGGAGAGCTGCTCTATTTAGGGACCGGGTAAGGTGCCTCCAGCAGCAAGTCTCTGTGCTTTTAGCTCCCCATTCCCTGCCATGCTGACCAATGTGGCGTTGGGAGCCCAGGGCTGGAGATGTGCAGACCCCAATTAGTCATTTGGCAAGCACTTGCTCCTTACAGCTATAGCTAGAGCCTTCCCCACAGGACCAGCAGCCTCTCCCTTCTTGCTATTGGAAATTATTGCACTCCAAAATCAAGAATCATGAAACTGAGGTCATGGGACCAGTTAGCTGCATGAAGGAGAGAAGTCCCACAGCATTTTTTCCTCATGAATAACACTGCAGAGTGATAAAGGGCACAGAATGGGGCACGGACATAGTGAGAGCCCCTGGGGGGACACCCAGCAGGGTGCTGGGGGTACCAGAGTAACCCTATCGCCGTCACTGGAGGCCAATCAGGATTTATGGCCTTGTCACCAGCCATAAATTTGACATCTAGGGTTGGGTCACACGTAATCGAAGCCAAAGAGGGATCTCATGGGTAGATAAAGGGGTGACCTTCATGCCAGGAGGCAGAGGGCAAGGAGCAGGACACAGGCTGGGTCTCCCCATTGGGTTCACTGCTGGTTTCATCTCATTTCATCTGTAAATCACCCTTCTTTGGAACAGCTGTTAAATCCCAAGGTCGACAAAGCTACATGACTTCTCCCATTACACCATTTTCTGTCCTGTTTGCATCCCATAAATTAAGTCAGTGAGGAGCTTGGTGTGGGATCTGGAAGTGTTTCACAGCAGGATCAGTCTCTCTCCCCTCTAATTAAACATTACAGGTTCCTCATGAATCACACCACATGCAGTATGAAAAGCCTCCATGGGGTGATTTATGGGAAATATGTTTTGATGTGCAGACTCAGGCCCCGCTCCTCACCCCATGCACCCCCAGCCCTCTTTCTTTACATTTCTGTGTCTTTTCTGACACAGGATGACCAGCGGTGTTTCAAGATGTAGGTGCACAGTGGGATTTCTGCAAGCACAGACTGCTTTTTTCTAGCATCATCTCTGCACCATTTGCAGCAATCCCTTAGGATGCCTTTTTGCTGCCATAAGCCCTGCACTGTCATTTTCACACCTGTACCCATGGTGCCTCTGAGCTCCCTGCACAGCACTAGCTCAGTGACTGCCTCCTGTTGCACATGGGCTACTTGAGGGGAGCTGTGCTCTTATTGTAAAGAAACAAAGCACGGATGATCATGCTGTCACACCATCTTCTTTCTAATAACCACAGAAAGGACTGACCAGGAGCAGCAGAACTGGATGGTAGCAGAAATGTCAGCAGGATGCTTGGGTGCAGGAGGGAGTGCAGGTGAGCAGGGCAGCAGAGCCCCATGGCCAGGACACAGCAGGACTGTGCTGGTCGCAGTGCTGGGGAACAGGGAGGGACACACGGAGGTGGTGGAGGTAGGGATGAGAAACCTCTGCTCTGTTTTTCCCACTGCTCTGCCTTGTTAGCCCTATTCATAGGGTGCCCTTCCATGCAGCACCTGGGATTTTAACTTTTATTTTTGGAAAATTGTTCACTTCTTGGAGCTGCCATGGAGCAGTTATTCACCCTTTCTCCTCCCCTCGTGACATGGAAAGAAATTCCCACGCAGCAGCGCATTGCCCTGCAGCCGGAGCCGGGCTCTGCCCCACATCACAACCTGCCCCATCTTGTCCTTAACTCCCAGCCTGGCTGCACTGCTCATCCACCTGCATGGTGCCGCGCTGCCTTTGATTCCTCCCCGATGAGATCATCCACCTCTCAGCACAAAACACACTGAGCGGTGTAGTCCTCCTGGCATGGGCTGTTTCACTGTTTCACTGGACTCTTTCATTCTCTTGCTTATTCCCCACTGGGCCTTCACATCTTCTGTTTCTTCTCTTGGTAAATGAAAAACAGCCCAGTGGTGGCAATGGTGCAGTTTGGGAGCATTTGGGGGTGGCTGCTGCACACATTAATGGTGAGAGCTGCTGCTCCAATCTCAGCAGTCCTACAGCACCCAGCTATCGATCAAAGCACTGCAGGTGCAGAGGCAGAAGGGACCAGCGAGATGCTGGGGGTCATTGTCACCCGGATTCAGGGTGGTGTGGGGTTCATCAGGTGCTACATGAGACTGAGAATGGGCATGGGGAGGTGCTCACCCCACTCTCTGCAGGAAAACAGGTGATTAAAGGGTACTGCCTTGTGCTTGTCTCTCTTTTGCTCTTAAAACCCCAGATCTCAAGAATAAGTCATCCTTAGAATCACAGAATCATTAAGGTTGGAAAAGCCTTCTAAGACCACCCAGTCCAGCTGCCCACCTACCCCAGTACTGCCCATCACTGCCTCATGATGGGCTCAGGGATGGGGACTGCTGTGCCCAGTGCTGCTGCACTACTTCCTATGAAAATAAAACCCTCGCGATTTCAAGTGGCCAATTTGGGGCCTGACTCAGGGCTGGAGGAGGAAATTCCTTCAGGCTGTTGTTTGTGTTTTCCTAGAACAGGAAAAAAAAAAAAAATACACAGCAAGAAGCCTCAGCCAGCTCTGCTTTCCCACTGCACATATTGGGCCAGGAGGAGGGACAGAAGGGATGGAATCCTGGAGCTGTGGTGTGGACGTGCATCCCTTCAGGGATCCTTTGTGCTCCTGAGGCACCACTCGAGGGCAGCCATGCTTCAAACACAGCAGCAATGCCAGGAACCTTGTGGTTGGGATGGGCTCTGTGCATCCATCTCCTGCTGTGGGGAGCCTCAAGGTCCTGCCCTGACCAAAATCCCACTCCTGGCTTCTGTGCTGTGGGTTTTCTTCCTGAGATTGAGCCCAACCTAAGCTATCCCTAGCTGCAGGTTGGATGCTGAGGTGGATTGGCTCCTCTGGGTTGAAAAGAGAAGGGTCTGTGGTCAGTGCAAACCCTGCTAGTCATGTCACTGTGCTATACTGGGGAGAAAACAGCATGAAAGCCACTGCAGCACTTCAACCTCAGCTGGAGGTGCTCATGCAGGTCCCTTCAGAGACAGGCAGCCATGTGGGATGGAGCCTGTGGTTCCATGACCTTCAAGGCCCCTTCCAACCCAAACCAACCATTCCATGTTTCCACGATCTTTAAGGCTCCTTCCAACCCAACCCAACCATTCTGTGGTTCCATGATCTTTGAGGTCCCTTACAACTCAATCATTCTACGGTTCTGTGATCTTGAAGGCCCCTTCCAACCCAACCATTATATGATTCTACGATTTTCAAGGCCCCTTCCAACCCAAACCATCCATGGTTCTATGATCATGGTCCTTTTTGATGCCAAAGAAAGTGGAAATCAAGCCTTTCCAGCCTTCTTCCACTATCACAGAGAAACAAAGAAACAAGTAGTGAGCAGGCAGGAGAGCACAGCCTGGCACATGAGATTTGCATGTGATTTCTGAACTCTGCTGACTTTTAACTTGGAAATTTCTAATCTAATAAAGGAAAGGAGAAATGGGGAACAGCTGGTTGCTCTTGAAATTAGTTCCTGGTCCCACCAGCACTGCCTGGTGCTGTTCTTGGTTCCATGGCATGGATGAGGTGTATGGTGGGACCTGTCCCTGTCACCAGGCAGCACCTTCAAGGATGTTTTATTTGGGATGTCATGTCCCAACAGTTACTTGCTCATGCTCTACTCAGAGCTACTGATGGCTTGAAGTCTTCAAAGAGAATAATGATTAGCCCCAAGCAGCACTGAGCTGTGAGAAAATGTATAATGGGACGATTATCAAGTGAAGCTGAGACTAAAAGTGGCGTTTAATGGAATCTGGCACCTCATGTTCCAGCTGACCTGAATGCTGCTCCTTCTGCCAGGCAAATGGAGTAAAAACCTCTGGGATTCGTAAATCAGAGTATTTAGGTTACACGTGGATTAGGGTGTGATCAGACAGTGCAGAGCTGCTCTGGATCATATGGGATCACCGAGGGCAGAGGGGCCCATTTGGTACCAGCCGTGAGCATCAGCTTGTGCTTAGGATGCTCCATTTCTCACTGGATCTCTCTGTGTCAGGAAGCATTACCCAACCACACAGTAACACCTGGTGGCACAAAGCCACAGGAACGTCTTGCTTCCAAAACGCTGCGGGCTTCCAATTAATGGCACTGAGACAAGGAGATTGCTCGCCTTGATTCATCTCAAATCATCGGTGATGAGAGATGTGTGATTTGACGGGAGAGGCACAGCTGGCAGACAGAAAACGTCTCTTTGCTTCCTGTAACTTCTCAAGCACTCCCTAATGAAGACGGTGTCCATTTGTTTGCATCACCCCATGGCTGTGCGAGGGCACGATGCGGGGACGACGCTGGCTGCACTCACGGACCACGTAGTCCTTCAGTTCTGACAACAGGCAACATCAACTTTCCTTAAACCCAAATCTGAAGATAACCAGGGGCCAATCTCATGTCTTGGCAGCTGACTTTAAAGCACAAGTTATTAAAGATGGAGAGGAAGGAGATTACATCCTACTGGGAAGATGGGAGAGCATTGCTATAGAAACACAGGGTTGCTGTGGCACAACTGGAAGCTGGCTCTTGGGTACCAACCAAAACCCCTTTTCTGAGCCTCAGGGCAAGGGAAAAGCAGGGATTTGGTGGGGAAGTCAAAGGATTAGGAAAGATTTTACCTCTGGGTATCTCCTTCCTCCATCTGCCTGAGTTAGAACTGAACACTGGGGATGAAACGCCTTTTGGTCCCTTCCTGCTGCAAGAAACAAGCTGAGAAGGCCCTGAATGTGCAGGAGAGTCCCTGTCCCATGGTCCCACACCAGGATGAGTGGGAAGAAGTTTTGCTTGGGCTCTGCATGTGTGTCCTGGGAGGATGAGCTTGACATCAGGAGAACACAAGCAAGCTGACAGACCTGCAAGCCCCACATGAAACACAGCTGGGAGCAGAAGGGGTTGTTATTCAGCCTGCTGCTGATGTTCTGCTTTCACTTTGCCCCTATAAAGCAAGCATGCCTCGCCAGCTAACTGCCTGACCCTACTGGAGTGGGAATAAAACAGAAATATACCCTTGGCATGCGCCCACAGCCCTGGCGCGTTGGGGAGGGCTTTGTTTACGGCACAGCTCTCCTCCATCTGGGCTCGGCTTCGGCAGAAGGTTATTTATACTGCAGTAGGGTTCACTGCGTGCTCAGCCCTGCCTCTGCCAGAGCCGGGAAATCCCTGCCCTGGAAAGCAGACGGCTGCTCCTGTCTGCTGCGTGGTCCTAAAGCAGGACCGTGGGCTGACGCCCCGTGGCCAAGAGCGCTCCCAGCATGCAGGAGGAGGATGCTAGTTATCCTGTTTGGGGTATATACGAGCTTCTCGGGCAGAGGATGAGGAGGGTGAGCCTTCATGCTGGGCACCATGCAGGTTTCCTCCCTGTCCCAATGTGCGTAAAAACCTGGGAGTCCTCCAAGCTTGGGCAGGGGCCATCCCATGCCATCCATCATCGCGGCGTCAGAAAAATGGAGCTGCGTCAAGCTGAAGTGATGTTAGGGGGAAAAAATGCTCTGTAAGTTGTTTTTAATTCTGTTAATAGGAAACAGACAGTGTGGCTTTAATCTGGCTGCAAAGCCCTGGAGCTCTGTTTGGGATCGGCTCCTGCTGTCTGGGGCTCCAGAGGTGCCAGTGCCTGGTTTGTCCCTCCTGTGGATCCTGCAATGGATGAAATATCAAACCTGTGCTGAAGGCAAATGTCAGTGCTGCAAAACGACGTGCTGCAGTTTTGGGTTCTCAGCTCTTCTGCCTTCCAGAGCAACATCTGAAGATGTGTCCTCAAGGCAGGACACCATCACGTGCCACCAATGGGGACACACTGGGAGGGTGGGCTCCTACCTCAGGCTGTCCCCACCAGCAGAGCTGCTTTTCCTTTCCAGCTGCCCAAAAAGGGGATACCCCATCCCCTTGCAGCCCCACCACTGGGATGCCCTCAGGGAGCAGAGCCACAGCCCCAGGTTTGGGGTCAGCCCTGTGCCACACTGCCTTTTCTGGGGGGGCAGCTCTGGGCGCTGCAGCCCCTGATGATTGGGTGCTATTTTGCTCAGTGCAGGAGCAGCTGTTGCTGTACATTATTGCACACTGCCTGTACCGGACCGCAGGCTGGAGGCGAGGCGGCTGTGCTCAGCCCGAGGTATGGCTTTGTGTTGATTTTCTCCTTTTTTATTGAATCAGGGTGGGCAGCAGCCCAACACATGGCCAGGGGGATGTGGTGCCGTGCTGGCCACGGGCATAAAGAGGGCAATGGGACCCATCCTGACGTGGCCATGTGAGCGTGTTCAGGGATGGCAGGGCAGGCAAGGGGCTATTTTTGGCCATTTCTTTGACATGAGTTAGCAACTTCAGGCTTTCACAACTTGGGCTTGCTCAGGAAAAGTCCAAGCAACAGCAAAATGGGGCCAAATTTCATCTGTGGCCATAACTTTGTGTGTTGAAAAGACCTGGAGTGCAGAGCACATGGGAGAGGATGCAGCATTCATGAACAAGGTAGCCTTATCCCCTTAGAGGAGTCAGTGCAAGATGAGGGCTGGAAATGGGCTGTCTGGTGGCAGCCCTGGCATTGGTGGTCATGCCTACCATGTGGCCATCCTTGCAATGTGGATGTCCCTATGCCACGTGGCTGTCCCTATACCACATGGCTGTCCCTGCCACATGGCCATCTTTGCCATGCTCTGCTGGGCAGTGGCTGCGTGCTTGGGGCACTGGCTTTGGAGATGATCCAGTATGAACCCTGGGGACCACGCTTACCACCTCCACGCTCTCATCATCTTGCCATGGAGAAGATTTCACGAGCCTGGGGAGGAACCCCCAAAATCCAATTCTGGGCAATAGATGCTCTGCTTTTCAGGGGAGCACAGGCCAGCTTGCCTGGACTGAGGTAACTAAAGCAGAACCTGAAGTCTTGTTTTGATTCCATGTCAAAAGCCAAGATCTTTCATACCATTGCTTCTCAGCCACAAAGTTTGCTCATCATTATTTGTGTTGCTTCCAATGTCATGTTTTAGATTCCAGCCTGGGAATTGGTGCTTTTTTTCTCAGCATTCATTGTTCCACCAGGGAAAAATAAACTAAATCTGGCTCAGATGGGGCAGAAATTCCTCTTCCCGATGATGGATGAGATGTGCAGATCTCAGAAGCCCATGGCCTTGGGGTGGTGCTTTTGGGGTGATGTTGTGCCCACGAGGCTGATTGTCCCCATGTGGGTGATGGCCACAGAGAGGCCACTGTCCCCCTCATCTTGCCCAGAAAGGTGAGCATCATACTTAGTGCCACGCTCTGCTTGTCTCCTGCAGGTGCTGATGTGCTGGGGAGCAACGGTGGGGAGAGCCATAGATTGTAAGTGTGCTGGTGCCTTTGGGTCTGTCATCAGGACAGGGAGGCTGTGTCTCAGTTCCCATTTGCACCAGCTGTGATGAAGACTGGATGGTTCAGTGGTTAGACTGGGTACAGGACAGGATTGGGACCCTGACACCCTGTGGTTCCACCTTGCAACCTGGTGGGTTTGGACAAGAGTTGAGACCCTCCTGTCCTGGATTCGGGGCTTACAAAGGGTCCTGGGGAGGGTTACTAGGAAAAAACCTTCGCTGACCCAGCCAAGGGGTGAGACCAGCTCCTGAACTGGGAATGAGAAGCATAGTCCCTATGTCTGTGTAGGGCTGTGATATATGGCCCATGGGCTGCTCTGTTCCCAGCCTGCATGGAACAGCACAAAACAATCCACCTGGCATGGAGTGCACCACCCTCAGGGGCTGGTAGTGGTGGTGGGCTGGGATCTGCATCCTGCCCTGGTGACAGCGTTTGGGCATCCTTAGGTGCACACCCTGGACAGGTTTCCAGGTTGGAAAGCGGAAAGGTCCTTCCCGCAGAGCTTGGGAGCAGGAAGCACAGCCCTCATGGCCCAGCTGTTGCTGTCACTGAGCTGTGCTAGTGGCAGTTCTCACTTGTGGCACCAATCCAGCACTGTGACACAGGGCAGCAGGCAGTCAGCACCGAACCCAGACCCCAGGCATTGTCCCCATAGTGGGGCCCATCCAGCGGATCCTACAAGGGTTGGGATTGCTCAGGCGCAGCCCAACACTCTGCAGCACGGAGCCAGCTAGTGGTGAAACCCATCTTAGCAAACAATCAGATCCCAACCTGCTCAGAGATACAGACACAGGCACCAGGAATACATGCCAGAGGACCTGGCAAAGCTCCTGCCTGGCCCTAGTAGCCACCAGGACTGCAAAGAGGGGCTGGTTCCATCCGCTCAACCCCAGCTGCATTCAGCATCTCTGGCTCTAGGAGGGTTCACACAGCTGACCCCCATCCAACCGGACTGTGCACATGCACCCACGTCTGCTCCTCTTTGCACAGGGCCTAAAGGAGGTGGGGACCCGGTGCGGTGTCCCTGAGCAGCAGTTGGACGTCCCTGAGCTGAGCATGCCTGAGCCGACGTCGCAGGGCACGGAAAAGAAGCGTGCAGAGAAGGTGGGAGCAAAGGGCGGCGCCGCGGTGCCTGCAGGTAGGAGTGCATGGAAAATCCTCATCAACCCCAACACCACCCCACTGTCCCATGTCCCCTGCCAGCCCAGGGGCACCATCTGGTGATGGGCTGGGGATGGAACCCCCCATTTCTGCAATACAAACCCCAAGGGGCTTGGTGCAACCCTTGTGAGGCTGCACAGGGGCTGTCAGGGTCCACCTCTGGTAATTCTGAGTTTCTTTGGGTTCCCAGTCCCCAAGAGCCTCCCTGTGAAAGCAAAGGTGGAGCCCCATAGCCTGGACCCTGCGGAGGAGCCGCTCATCTGGGAAGGGCTCACCCTCAACAAGTGCATCCTGGTGGCCTCCATTGTCGCCCTGCTCAGTGTCAGCTTCCAGGTGCTCCAAGGTGAGCGTTGTCCCTGTGCTGCCAGGATAGCTGCACCTCAACATTGCCACCTCCACCCCTTGCCCTCTGTCCCCTTTTCTCTTCCAGCTCCACCATGCCCCAGGGACGGTGTCATCAGTGGCAAGCAAGAGCCCCCAGCAGCTCCCATCCACGGTGCGTTCAGAGCTGGGTGGGTTCCACAAGAGGCTGCTGGGGTTTTAGGGTTAGGGGTAGTGCTTGGGTTGTGGCTCATTGCTTTCCATCCCCAGAGGTCATCATCCCCAAGGAGGAGGTCCCAGAGGTAGTGGCTCCACAACCCATCCTGCCTGAGAGCAGCATGCCAGAGGATGATGATGGTGATGATGATGGTGACGATGATGACGACGAAGCGGACAGCAACCTGGTATGGGGCTGAGGGGGGGGGACAGCATCCTCTGGTGCAGAGGAGATCACGGTCC